CTTATTAGTGGGTAGTAGTCAAAATCTTCACTTTTTCTATTATTTTGCATATTACAATTCATAGATTTTACACTTGAAACCGTCTCTTATGCATTTAGAACAAGCAAATTTGTTGTGATGATTTTATCACTTTCACCTAATAATCTTTAGAGAAGATTTGACGTAACTTGTGTACAATTTGGAGAAAAGTAATGGCACAAGGTGAGTTCGAACTCATGTCCACAAGGTTAATAGAATTGCATATAACCAATCACGATGGGGATCATTCAATGTTCTTTATGCAAAGTATATTAGTTAACGAGTACCATTTATTTGTTGTTCTCTCGGGAAAAAAAAAAATACATACTTATGTCATAACGTTCATTCGAACTCATGTACAAGGGGATAATACCATTGCGTATAACCAATTAAGCTGGAGATATTCAGTGTTCATTTTGCGATTAGTGGTATATTATTAGGAGAAATTTTAAGGCCGAAGATCGTGTTGTCCTTTTTCTTTATCTACACCATCGTCATTTGTGTTGGACAAACCCTAAGTATCTTAAATTCCCCCAAATTAAACGATTCTTGGGTCTATTCATCTCAATTTTTTGCCATCCATCCAATTCTGCCACTTATTAACTCGATTTGCAAAGGTATGTAACTCAATTTCTGAAGGTTCATGATTGGTAGTACGCAATTTTCGGATTGCTCTGTTGTTGTGAAATATGTTGATTGTTGCGCAGATATGAGTAACATATCATCAGGATCAACTCGTAGCAGTTACGTTAGGGGCATTCCAAGTCGATGTACTTGTGGCAAGCCCACTACAATTCTCAAATCAACAACGGAGAAGAATCCGAGACGTAAGTTTTACCGCTGCAGAGCCTTGACTGATAGAGCTTTTGGTCGTGTTTTCAAGTGGGCAAAGGAGTCTCAGTTGGAAGAGTTTGATGTTCTATTGGAAAAACAAGAATCAATTGTTGACGACATTGAAAAAAATCGTAAGGTGTGAGAAGCATATGATGGATACATTAGAGAAGCTTCTCGAGAAGACAAAGAAGCTAGATTGTGAAGTAAAGATGTTGAAGGCAACACTTAAGAAAATTGTGATTTGTGTTGCGATAATAACATGTTTGTATATTTCATGTCGTCTATTGTAGGAGTCTGTGTTTTGTTAAAGGTTTCTTGGCTACAATCTAATTACTATCTTTTCTATTAGTACATTGGGTTTCCTATCATTTCCATCGATGCACTCGAACTAAGCACAAAAATGCATACTTATC